TGGGGTGTTGACACATGGCTCACCGCCCTCCATCAGATTGAAAGTGAAATTGCAGCAGGTCCTGAAGATGAGCATTTCAGAGCAGTGATGGCTGCAGCAAATGACTTCCTTCAGAGCTCTGGAGAGCCCCCGAGCCTCCAAGGCTCAACTACAGAAATGTCAGGACATGTTTGAAGCACCAAAACCCTGGGAGAGAGGGAGAGGACCCAGACCACAGGCCTGCCACAGGCAGGGCCGTGACTTGGGAGGCCCAGACAGTTGTTATCTCCTATGGATGTCCACAGAGGCCTCTGAACCCCTGCACAGGGACAGTGAGGGACACCCGTGTCCCACAATCTGTACCCTGCTGTTCCCACCAAACACTAGTATTCTGTCATCTCACTATTCCATACTTTCTAGCCCCTGCACCCCATCATCTATATACTACCTAACCAAAGGCCTGCACCCCACATCTGCACTGCTTACATCAAACACCTCCACTCTACGATCAACACCCTACTGTCTATACCAACTGCCTGCACCCCACCCTACTGTCTATACCCCAACCCTGCACTAATCCTGTGTAAACCTGTCTGTACTTCTCACACCCTCATGGCCTCACCATGCTGCTCAATGAAGGCCGGTTCTAGCAGGATTCTACCAACCCTCAGAATTAGTGTGGCCTCCTAAAGAGCAGGACAGCCACCCCCAAGGTGGTCAGTCTTTAATCTTCAAGCCTCCATCTTGATCTCCCAGGACATCCCCTCCTCTAAGATGGGCCACCATCTTAGTAGTACGCACACGATCTCCTGAAGATCTTATTAGCGCTCCATTTCTTAGCAACACTGCTGTCCCCAGACCATGCAGTGTTTTGTTTTGTTTTTTAGACAAGGTTTCCTTATGTAGCCATGGCTGGCATGACACTAGCTGTGCAGATTAAGTTGGCCTCAAACCCGTGGAGATCCACCTGCCTCTCGCTTCCAAGTGCAGGAATTTAAAGACATGGGCCAGCATGCCCAAGCCTGAACCATGAGCCACCATGGCCAGCGGGAGTCTGAACAACTGTGCCCATGAAGAGTCAAGACTGAGTCATTGTGCTCCAGGGGCTGCTGTCAAGGTCAGCTGCAGGAGCTCTTCAGCTTGTCTCTTGCCGTAGCCCCTGGAGCTTTCCTTCAGGGAAGCATTTCCATTTGGCTATGCATTCTGCCCTGGGAAAATGTGTCCTTCTTGGCTAATGAAAAGTAAAATTTGCCAGATGTGTGTGTGGGGGTGTTGGGGGGGATGTTCTGGGAGGATGCTCTTCTTCCTCTCTGCTGCTTCCTTCATCTCCCCTCTCTCCTTTCTCTGCCTAAGCGTACCCTGGGTTCTGCAGGTGGGGGTGCTGCTTTTCAAGTGTGAGGACAAAAATCATTCATTAGACAGGGAGTCATAGGAGCCTAAGTCCCAAGGGTGTCGCAGACCTCTGTTTGATTCTGAACCACTCACTACCAGGCTTCTAGCTATCAAAAGAAAGGAAGGGAGGAAAGGAGGAAGGGAGGGAAGGAGGGAGGGAGGGAGGAAGGGAGGGAGGGAGGGAGGCAGGCAGACTTCACTTGGCTACCTGACTGTTTTGCAGGTTTCTTCACACTCCATCAGGAGAGATTTTAATCAAGGATCCCCACTTGGGAGTTTCCTGGCCCATTAAAGGGAAATGTCTCCGAAGAGAGCAATAGGATGCAGGGTGCATTGGAAGCACGCACCAGTGACTGCCGATGAGCCCGAGTCTTCGCACTCAGCGATGCTGATCGAACTTCATTTGGGACTTAATGAAAACAGGGATTACTTGAGAGGAACAAAATGCACTCCGTGGATTACAGCTGAGAGACTTAGACAGCACATTTGGAAAAAAAGAAGGAGGAGGAGGAGAAGGAGGAGGAGAAGGAGGAGGAGGAGGAGGAGGAGGAGGAGGAGGAGGAGGAGGAGGAGGAGGCGGCGGCCAGGTCCTACTGAGTCCGGTGCCTCCCATGCGGGACCCAGGGAAGAACAAGTCACTACAGAACCTCACAGCAACGCCACAGGTAGGGCCAGCCCACCAGGAAAACAGGGGTACTTCCCTTCCTTTCGGGGCTCCAGGATGCCCAGACCTCCCCACAACTCTGGGAAGGACACAGGCGTCATGCTGGAATTGTCTTCTTTACTATATTCATAAGAAAGAGTTGTTCTACTGCTTCTTAATCATAACTAACTGTGATTTTCTGTTTACATTAGACATTTTACATTTGTCCTTCCCTGCTTCTCCCTGAGAAGTCCAATTAGACATCCTGGAAACAACAAAGACAACAAAAGAAGAACTCAGAAAAGTATTCATTGAAAGCAAACTGGTTAGGGCCCCAGCATCAGAAGATGACCTCGGCCCAGGGCTTCCTGAGGTCAGTATAAGGTGGTGGGGGCAGACCCCCCCCTCCAGCTGACGCCTGAGTTCCACCCCTATTATGGTTAGGGTTTTAAATGTCTCTCACAGACCCAAGGTTTGAACATGTGTTCCTGAACTGCTGGTGCCATTTGGGGAGTCTGTGGAAGCATCGAAAGGGATAATGTAGCTGATAGAAGTAGGTGACAAGGGGTGGGCCTTTGAAGGTTATACCCAACCCTCCTGGGTCCTTCCTGGATTTCTGCCTCTTGGTCTGTTGAGATGAGAACAGGCTCCCCCACAGAGTCCTTCTGCCAGGAACTGAAATATCATCATCCCCTCCCCTGTGAGATGGACTGAAATCCTCCGGAACTGCGAGCCAAAACAGACCTTTCCTCCCTAAATTTTCCTTTCCAGCATTGTCATAGCAACAACTTTCATTGTTTAAATCTAAATGTCCCCCTCTGCAGCCCATCATTGGGTTGTGAATGTTTAGTCCCAAATGTGTGGCACTGCTGGGAAGGCCGTGGGGCCTTAGGAGGCGGGACTGGCCTGGTGGACGTCATTCTCTAGGGGTGGGTCTTTGAAGGCTATACCAGCTTCCGGCTCTGAACTGCTCTCCCTGCTGCCATTTGAAGACGGACACGCCAGCCACCATGGGTGAATTCTCCTCCTCTTCTTCCCCACTATGACAAACTGAAACACCTCTGAGATCATGCACTGAAATAATCGTTTCCTCCCTGAAGCTATTTCGACGAGATATTTCATCCCAGTGGTAAGAATAGTAATACAGAAAATTGGTTCCCAGTGAGGTGGGGCCATTGCTGTGATTTCCTTAGCCCTTTTAGAGCTCCAAACAAGCTTTTCAAACGGGTTTATGGAGGGAATGTAAAGGGTTTGGAGAGGTGGACTAGGAGGCTCTAGAATGCTATAAACAGAGCTTGATGGAAACTGCAGGGGGGATTCAGAAGACCAGACCGCTGATAGAAGTGCAGGCCATAAAGATTGCTCCTAAGGCTTTGAGTGGGGGCAGGAATTCTGTCAGGAAACAAAGGGCCATTTGTGTTACATTCTGTAGATGAAAACGTCTGGCTGTTTGCCCCTGAAAAAATCTGAGTGAAGCTGAGTTAAAAAGCAACGGGTTAATTTATTTGGAAAAAGAACTTTCAAGACATTGTAACGGGGCTGTGGTATTGTTATCGCACATTGCTTTCAGTCAGATTTACAGTGAGAATCTGGCAGGGGCAGGCTGGAGATCAGAGCAGAAAGATACGCATAAGTTAGTGAAGGAAGGCACATAAGCACATTTACAACTGGCTCAAGGTGAGTGCAGACGAATCCTTTGCAATTGTTAAAGAGATGAGTGCACTAAACAGAAGCCACATTCTTCGGGACACAAAGAAAGGTGCCTTCGGGCCACAGGGTGTGGAAATGTAAACTCATTTGAGAACATTTCAGTGGAAAGATGCTGGGATAGAACGTCTCCAGGATGCCCGGCTGGAAAGCGGCCACATAGGGCAGCATCTTTCCCGGCTTACCATGCAAGCACTGGAGTCCAGTGCACCCGAGGTCACAGGAGAGGTGGCACTTCTTGAGTGAGCAGCAGTACCTGGTATCAGCCAAGTAGGATGTAAGAGTTACGGGTTCGTGGGGGTTTGTACCAAGATTCTAGGGAGAAGAAAGCCTGTGAGAATGGGCAACATGCAGTCTAGTCAGATCTCCTTCATTTGTCTGATGGGAAGAGCAGTGAAGGTAAAGCCTAAATTTCATTTAAGAGTCTAGGATGTTGGACACGCTAGCAAACTGGGGTGCCTGCTGAGGAAGGTTATAAATGCAGGCCACAGGCTGCCCAAGACTGTTGGAGCCCAGGTGATGCTGCTGAGCCCTGAGTGCCGGACATGAAGTTGCAGGATTTGATCTTCTGGGCTTTGGTCTTGTGCTTGCTCGTTCTTTCCTGTCTTCCTAATCCTCTCGACTGGGACAGGAACTCTTCTGAGACACTGGATAAGGGAACTCTGATGTTTCCTCTTTTTTTTTTTTTTACTTTATGGTGCTTACAGAGATTGCTTTGAGTTTCAGAAGACACTTTGAACAGTGTTGGAACTCTGAAGATTTTGGGAGACTCGGGGTTGACCTAAAAATATTTTTCAGTACAGCATAGTTGTGAGGCTTTGGAGATGGGGGGTGTGTGTGTGTTAGGATTTGAATATAAAATTTACCCCGCAGGCTCATGTATAAGCACTCAGTCTCCAGCTTGGGGCGCTGTTTTGAAAGCTGTGGCTCTTCCAGGAGGCGGAGCTTGCCTAGTGGGAGTAGGTCTACAGGTCCACTTCACACTCCATTGTGTTCCTTGGATGGGGCCACTCAGCTGTGCCTTGCTCACCAGGAAGGGCAGAATCATGAGCCAAATCACACCCTCCTGCCTTAAGGTGTTTCTGTGGGGTCTTCCCGGCAGCTCTGTATTCGGTTACTTTTCTCCTTGCTGTAACAAAACACCTGACAAGAAGCAGCTTAAGAAAGGAAACATTTTAGTTTAAATTTAAAAAAAAAGATTACATTGTGTGTGTGTGTGTGTGTGTGTGTGTGTGTGTGTGTGTGTGTGTGTGTGTGTGTGTGTGTGTGATGCATGCGAAGCCAGAGGACAACTTGATGGAGTCAGTTCTCTCCTACCACGTGGGTTCTGAGAGGCAAACTCTGGTTTGGGAGCTTGGCAGCAGGGGCCATTACTCACTGAACCATCTTGCAGACCTGGATTTGTCTTATGGTTTGGAAGGGATGCAGTCCACCACGGGGAAGGGATGGCTACAGGAGGGTTAGGTATACCCTAACCCTATAGTCAGCTGCCACCTATAGTCAGGAAGCAGAGAGAAGACAGGAAGTGGACTATAAAAAACTCAAGAGTCAACGGTGATCCACTTCCGGCAGTGAAGCACTACCTCCTGCATTATAAAACCTTCCTAAACAGCCCCACTAGATGGAGAATGAGTGTCCATGAGCCTGTGGGGAATGCTCCCTATCTAAATCACAACAGGGACTAGTACAGCAATGCAAACGTATCTGATACAGGCTGCAACGCCAGGCCAAGTCCAGCAGACATGTAGGAGGCTAATCAGAGGCCCCGCTGATGATCCGCATCCTGCTGAAGGCTTATCAGCGACCCCGCTGATGATCGGCATCCTGTGGAAGACTGATCAGAGACCCCGTTGATGATCGGCATCCTGTGGAAGACTGATCAGAGACCCCGCTGATGATCGGCATCCTGTGGAATGCTGATCAGAGACCCGTTGATGATCGGCATCCTGTGGAAGGTTGATCAGAGACCCCGCTTCTGATGATCGGCACCCTGTGGAAGGCTGATCAGAGCCCCTGCTAATGATCCCCATCCTGTGAAAGGCTGATCAGAGACCCCGCTTCTGATGATCGGCACCCTGTGGAAAGCTGATCAGAGACCCCACTGATGATCCCCACCCTGTGAAAGGCATCCCTTCCCCATCAGGTCCAAGACCCATCTCCATTTTCATTACATGTCATGGGAGATACCTTGAAGCGGCAGAGGTGACCTGAATCAACAGAGGATCCCACCACATCAAGAGCTCATCCAGAAAACTTCTTTGTCCCTCGAAGACTATGGCACCAGACAGTGGACAGCATGATCAAAGACGAACTTTCACAAGCGCTGAGCCCAGGAAGAACACCGGCCTCCTAGGACTGGAGAGCTTCTTTCTTCTAGAAACAAAGGCCAGGGATAAAGAAGGTTCTTCTGTCTCCTCAAGCAGCACCCTAAGGGACCCACTGAAGACTCAGCCACACGAGAAAAACCAGGCAAGCTGAAACAGCACAGCAAAGACTCTGAAAATCAGATGTCATGCAACCACAGCCCACAAAGTAGGTCACACCTGCAGTACTGAACCTAAACACGGTGACTGACTACTAATGGAAAAGGGCTAGGTACGACCTGGGCTCTCCTCATGTAAGAGTCAGTCAGCATTTCACACCACAATAAAACAAAACACCCAGCATACCAAGAGCCAAGAACACTGAAATCTGACAGAGTAATTGACTCTAACACTGAAAAGAAGCCGATCTTGGAATTATTTAATAGAAACATTTTAAACAAGCATGCTCAAAACGGTTCAGTAGTTAATTGCAAACTTCCTTGAAACAAATGGAAAAATAGAAAAACCTCAACAAAGAAACAGAAGTTATGAAAATAACCAAATGCTAATTATAAAACTGAAGATGGCGAGTGGACTAATGAAACATACTCAGTTTGAGCAACCAAGGGGGAAAAAGGCCTGGGAAGACGAACAGAGTCTCTGGAACTTGTAGGGAATAAAACAAAAGACCCAGCATGGTCTTCTTGGGTGACAGCTTAGTTGGCGTGAAGATGGGAGTCCCAGCTCCAGGACCTACATTTAAAGAGCCAGGAGTGGAGATGAGGGTTTGTAGTCCCAGCTCGGCAAGGCAGAGTCAGGGGGTTCCAGAGCTCACTAGGTGTCTAGACTGTTGGCAAGTTCCAGGCCAGGGAGAGAAAACAAGGGGGATGGTGTCTGAGGGATGGCAGCTGAGGCTGACTGCTGGCCTGTGTACACATGTGTGTGAACACACATGTGTGTGCCACAAAAGAGCAAACAGACACATAGACACACAGACTCACAGACAGAGACAGACCAATAGACAGACAGACACAGACACACACACACACACACACACACACAGAGAGAGAGAGAGAGAGAGAGAGAGAGAGAGAGAGAGAGAGAGAGAATCCCCATGAAGATTGAAGAGGAACCTGAACCTTGCAATGAGGCCGACTAGTGAAGGCGCTCTTCCTCAGAGCCAGACTACAAAGACTGGGAGAACTGACTGCTTTTGAAATAAGTGAATATCAACAGAAAAGCTGTGAGGCATACCAAGAAACCGGAGCTATTTGAAGGAACAAATGTCCCTAAAGAAACACTTTTTTGTTTAACCGCTTGATGATAATTCTAAACAATATTCTCAGATAAAATGAACTAAAGAAGACCTCTGACAGAGAGCTAAATAAAAACAGGAAAATAACAGGTGAGCAAAATAGGCATGTTAAGAGCCATGATAAATGATAACGGAAACAGAACTGACTAGAAATCCTGGAGCTAAAAGGTCACAGCAACAAAACTGAGAAGTTCACCCGAGGGAGCACCAGCTGCTGGGAGAAGCAAGAAGAAAAGCAGAGATCCCGAACACGGGTCATGTGGCATGACTATTTTGTGTAGAAGAATAAAAAATCATGACCTTTTACAAAAACAAAACCTTGTAAGTGAACAGAGCCCAAGGGACTTATGGGATACCATCCAGCAGACAAATGCATAAAATTTGGTGGTCCCACCATCAATAAGACAAAAAGACAGTCTACAGAATGAGAAAAGATTGTCACCAACCCCACTTCAGACAGAGGGCTAATTTCCAATGTATGTATATAACTAAAGAAACTAGACATCAACAAACCAAATAATCTAATTAAAAAATGGGGTACAGATCTAAACAGAGAATTCTCAACAGAGGAATCTCAAACGGTGGAGAAACACTTAAGGAGATGTTCAACATCCTTGGCCATCAGGGAAATGCAAATAAAAAGAACTCTAAGATTCCATCCTACACCTGTCAGGATGGTTGAGATTAAAAACCCAAGCAATAGCTCATGCTGGTGAGGATGTGGAGCAAGAGAAATACCCTCCCTGCTGGTGGGAATGCAAACTTGTACAGCCACTTTGGAAATCAGTATGGCAGTTGGGAATCAGTCTACCTCAAGATCCAGATGATGGTGTTTGGTTTTGCTCTTTTGAGCGCCATCCAGCTCCCAAATAAATCACACAAGGAGGCTCATTCTTAATTATAAATGCCAGCCTTAGCTTGGCTTATTTCTAGCTAGCTTTCCTTAGCTTTAAATTAGCACATCTACCTACTGCCTCTGGAATTTTTTCCTTTTCTTCTGTAATCTTACTTTCACTCTTGCTCAGTGACTGGCTGTGTAGCTGGGTGGCTGGCCCCTAGCATCCTCTTCTCCTTGTTCTCTGGCTCCTTCTTCTTTTTCCTCCCAGATTTCTCCTTCTATATATTCTCTCTGCCTGCCAACCCCACCTATCCTTTCTCCTGCCTTGTTATTGGCCATTCAGCTCTTTATTAGACCATCAGGTGTTTTAGACAGGCACATTAACACAGTTTCACAGAGTTAAACAACTGCAACATAAACAAAGGTAACACACCTCAAAATAATATTCTACAACACCCAGCTATACCACTCCTGGGCATATACTCAAAGTACACTCCATCATACCACAAGAACACTTGCTCAACTATGTTCATAGAAGCTTCATTCATAATAGCCAGAACCTGGAAACAACCTGGATGTCTCTCAATTGAAGAATGGATAAAGAAATTGTACATTTACACAATGGAGTGTTACTCAGCTATTAAAAACAATGACATCATGAAATTTGAAGGCAAATTGATGGAACTAGAAAAGATTATCTTGAGTGAGGTAACCCAGACCCAGAAAGACAAATATAGTATGTACTCACTTGTAAGTGGATATTAACTGTCAAGTGAAGGATAACTATGCTACAATCCACAGACTCTGAGATGCTAAGTAACAAGGAGAGCTCAAGGGGGGAACATGAATCTCCCTGGGAAGGGGAAATAGAATGGACATTGTGGATGGAGGGGAGGGATGGGAACAGGAAGGATCAGGTTGGGGAAGGATGGAGGGAGAGAGTACTGGGAGAGACCATTGGGATTGGGGGATATCTCTGAGAAGAGCTAGAAACCCAATGCAATGGAAATTCCCAGGAATCTACGAAGGTGTAAGACTCCCTAAGACTCCTAACAATGGGAGATACACAGCCTGAATTGGCCATCTCCTATAACCAGGCAAGACTTCCATTGGAGGGAACATTGGACTTCCATTCCATGGGACACCAGCCACATAACATTCAACCTACAATTTGTCCTGCCTATAAGATGTGCTGGGGTAAAGGTGGTGCAGAAATTGTGGGAGTGCCCAAACAATGACTGGTCTGGCTTGAGACAGACCCATGACACAAGAGGGGGCCTACCCCTGACACTGCCTGGAAAGCCAGGACCCTGAGGCTGTATAGCCCAGAGATCTAGGATAGAACCAAACATAACTGGCAAAAAAAATCAATGAAATGAAATGATTCCTAATGATATTCTGCTATACTCATAGATTAGTGCCTAGCCCAATTGTCATCAGATTCATCCAGCAACTGACGGAAACAGATGCAGAGACCCACAGCTAAACATTAAGTGGACCTCAGAGAATCCTGCAGAAGATGGGGAAGAAGGATTGTAGGAACCAGAGGGGTCAAGGGCACCATAAGAAAACCCTCAGAATCAACTAACCTGGGCTCATAATGGCTTACAGACACTGAAATGACAACCAAGGAGCCTGCATGGGAATGACCTAAGGCACTCTGCGTATGTGTTACAGTTGTGTAGCTTGGTCTTCTTGTGGGGCTCCTAACAGTGGGAGCAGGGGCTGTCTCTGACTCTTTTGTCAGCTTTTGGGACCCTTTCCTCCTACTGGGTTACCTTTTCTAGGCTTCAACTTGATATGTCACACATGGTTGATACCCATGAGAGGCCTGCCCTCTTCTGAATAGAAATAGAGGAGGAGTGGGTGAGGAGAGAAAGAGAGAGACCTCATATTACCAACTAAACAGCACACCCTAAAGCTCTAGAACAAAAGAGGAAATCACACCCAAAAAGAGTAGACATCAAGAAATAATCACAATCTGGGCTGAAATCAATAAAATAGAAACACGCAAAAACAATACAAAGAATCCAGTGAAATGAAGAGTTGGTTCTTGGAGAAAATCAATAAATTCAATAAACCCTAACCCAAATTAGCTAAAAGACAGAAAGAGAAGATCCAAATTAATAAAATTAGAGAATAAAGGTGGTACATAAGAACCAAGGAAATCCAGAAAATCATAAGGACATTAAAAACCTCTACTCCACCAAATTGGAAAACCTAAAAGAAATGGATACATTTTTCGATATATACCACCTACCAAAGAAAAATTAAAATCAGATAAGCAACTTAAACAGACCCAAACACACATAGTAAAATAGAATCAGCAATTAAAAGTCTCCCAAGAAAAAAATCCCAGGACCAGATGTATTCAGTGAAGAATTCTACCAGATATTCGAAGAAAAATTGACACCAATACTTCTTAAATCATTCCATAAAATAGAAACAGAAGGAACACTGCCCATTCATTTTACATGGCCACACTACCCTGATAACTAAATCACACAAAGTCCCAACAAAGAAAGAAAATTACAGACCAATTTCCCTTATGAACATAGATGCAAAAATCCTCAATAAAATACTTGCAAACTGAGAATAAGAACACAGCAAAAAGATTATCTGCCATGGTCAGGTAGGCTTCATCCCAGAGATGCAGGAATGGTTCAACATGTGTAAATTATAAAGATGGAAAAACAAGAACCACATGATCATCTCACTAGATGCAAAAAAAAAAAGGCTTTTGACACAAACCAACACCCCTTCACAATAAAAGTCCTGGAAAGACTAGGGATATGAGGACAAACCTCAGTATAACAAAGATGATTTATAGACATCCCACAACTAATATCAACCTTTTAAACAAAGAGAAACTGAAAGCATTTTCGCTAAAATCAGGAACAAGTCAAGGCTGTCCACT